CAACACCGCATAGCTTCAGCATTTTGGGCTGCGCACCGGTAGCTACCAGAGTAGGACTCGTAGGACTTAGGCTTGTTGTCCTTTATGCAGGTTGAAGGTTGCCGGCTACCGCAGGTTTACAGGATCTGGGATCAAGGTAGGGTTCCGAGTCCCGAGGACCCCGACCCAGAACAAAGCCCCTCGAATTCGATTTCTGCGCCCTCGTAGCCCTGTAGACTAGAGACCCTACGGCCTGACCCTAAACCCTAAACCCCAAACCCTAAACCCTAAATCCTAGAATCGAGTCCCTGATGCCCTCAACCCCCAAAAAACCAGGGCTTCTTGCTTTGAATGCAAGAACCCGATACTCCCGGGAGTGGCTCTCCAAAGGCAAAAAAAGGGGTTTAGGGTTTAGGGTTTAGGGTTTAGGGTTTAGGGTTTAGGGTTTAGGGTTTACGGGTTTACGGGTTCTAAGGTTTAGGGTTTCGGGTTTGAGGACCGCAAACCTTGAAGCTTTGAGGCTCCATGTATCCTGGCTGGTCCCGCAGAAGCTCCTACGCCCGGGCCGAGGCCTGTCTAGGGCCAGCTTTCCCAAAGCCCTTGGTCTAGGGAAGTTGAGCCCGCCGCGTCTGGGTCAGGTCTCGCTACCTTTACCTCCAACGCTACAGCTGCTGCTTGCTTCGGGTCGAGGCACTATGGCAGGGCTTGGGGGCTAAAACCCTAAAAGCCCCAAAGACCCCAAAACCCTCAGACCCTAAAACCCTAAAACCCAAAGACCCTAAAACCCTAAAACCAAACCCTAAAACCCTAAAACCCAAAGACCGTAAAACCCCAAAACCCCAAACCCCTAAACCATCCCTAAACCCCTAAACCCTCAAATCAGCCTGCTTTCAATGACTCCGGGCCAGCTTGCCGCCGCAGCGAGTCACGTGTCTGAGTCCGGGATGCTCTTCAGCAGGGGAAGCTCCGACTCCTCCGAAAGGTGCTTGGAGGTTCATGGTACTTCGTAACAAAAATATAACTGTATTTAGAAACCCACGAAAAGCCCCTGATTACCCTAGTATGGCTATAATTGGGTTCTAAGTGCAATGACTTCTTGCTTAGCAAGTATCATGAACCTCCAAGTGAGGGGCATTGGGTTGAAGTCCGGGGCTAGGGGGTCCATTTGCCCAGCATCGACCGACCATCCCCCCCCTCCCACCCTCCCACCCCTCATTCTGCAGAATTTCCAGGGCAGAGGCAAGTAAGTTTCTACCCTAAACCCTAAACCCTAAACCCGAAACCCTAGACCCCAAACCCTAAACCCCAAACCCTAACTGCACGTTTGGGACAACTTGGGTTTAGGCAGTGTCGCAGAGGTCTGCAAGTTTGAGCTCACGCAGTCGGTTTCGAGCCTTACGCCCCATAAGCTTAAGCTTCTGTAACGCCCAAGGCAAAGACCTACAATGGCCCCCTAAACCCTAAACCCTAAACGCTGAACCTAAACCCTAAACCCTAAACCCTAAACCCTAAACCCTAAACCCTAAACCCTAAACCCTAACGACTCAACTCTCAGACATGGCGGGTCAAAGAGGGACTGCAGAAATGTCAACGAAGAGACCTCAGCCACTCTTCGCAGAAGGTCGCACGGAAGTGGTGCGCATGTGCCGCATGTGTGTCTTTTTGCGCTGCGCGCGAACGAGGAAGGTGAAACACCTGGCAAACTGGGTATGCTTCGGGTGGGGTCTAACTAGGGATTTTAGTTTTGGCTATGCACAAACAAGCGCTTGCACCACAGCGACTGAAACAAGTGAGTTTACTGGCTAACCCACTCTAGTCCCTAAGCCCTATGCCCTAAGCCCTGAGCCCAACAATTGCAAGTTTTTGACTCAAAACCTACCATGGACCATACACACCGGCAGGAAACAGCCGAAAACCCACGAGGAACCATAGTAACACTAGCAACACACAGCACTAGGACATGAAACATACCCACATGCGCACGCGAGGCTCACAGCGAAGTGGGACCATTCCACCTGAGACAAGAAGGTTTTGCGTAGGAGGTGCCCTCAAAACCTACCTGAAGACACCTGAAGAGCCAGCTGGGTCCCGAGGATTGAGGCCTAAAAAAGCGCTTTAAAGGGCAAGGGTGCTTTTTTGAGCTACTAAAAATGTCCAAGACGCCGTGGTAAATCAGACCTCTTTTTCTGGGTAGCCCAATAAATTATAATAAGGGCACCCGTATTTGCCTTGGTTACTTTTATAAGGGAACCCAGATCCACAAAAATGGCAAAGGGGTACCAGTGGGCGAATACAGGGGCCTGAATCATGAGAACAGGATTTGGAGGGCTATGATAGTATACTTTTAAAGGGACCCTAAAGGAATGCTATTAGTAATTATTCCGACCCCTATATTACCAACCCTAAACCCTAAACCCTAAACCCTAAACCCTAAACCCTAAACCCTAAACCCTAAACCCTAAACCCTAAACCCTAAACCCTAAACCCTAAACCCTAAACCCCAACCCCTAAACCAGGTGTCCAGGCTCCCAGCGTGCCCCAGGTGCCATCTTCCCGCTTGGTGTAGGCCCAGGTCTCGTCGTACCTGCAGAAGCCATATTGGCCTTCGGCGCTCAGTAAGGGGTTTATAGGGTTTAGAGTTGGGGTTTAGGGTTTAGGATTTAGGGTTTAGGGTTTGGGGTTTAGGGTTTGGGGTTTGGGGTTCGGGTTTGGGGTAAGATCCCACATGCCGTCGCGCTTCGTTCTTTATCTGCCGTCGTTTCTGTGCGAAAGACGTGCCTGGACCTTTTTGTGGAGGGGCACTTGATTTTCTCCACAGCGTCTGCGATGTCCGGCCACTCCAGACACGTCCGCTCCTCCATGCACATTGCAAGTGCCAAGAACAAGCCCCTAAACCCTAAACCCTAAACCCTAAACCCTAAACCCTAAACCCTAAACCCTAAACCCTAAACCCTAAACCCTAAACGTTCCGACCAAAATCCAAGTCAAGAACCCGAGGCCTGAACTCGACAAAGGCAGAGCGCTGCGCGCGAAGCCAAAGATCCCAGCAAGGCCTTATCCCCTCCCCCCCAATAGTGAACCCCCTAAACCCTAAACCCTAAACCCTAAACCCTAAACCCTAAACCCTAAACCCTAAACCCTAAACCCTAACCCCTCCCCCCCAATAGTGAACCCCCCTGCCCCTTAATATTCAATGCTCCCATTCTAGTTACATTACTTGGAGGTTCATGGTACTTAGCTACCCAACTAGAACTGCACTTATACTCCAACTATAACCCTATTAGAGTACTCAGGGGGGGTATACGTGGGCTATGGCTGCACTGATAATGGGTGATTAAGTACCACGAACCTCCAAGCAGGATGTATGGGGCATGCGGCAAAGAGGACCCGACAAGTGAATTTCGAGCAGCCAAATCCAGACCGAGGCCCGAAAATCCACCAAAAAAACTAGGCAATCAGAATCTACACCTTGGGATATTCCCCCTTATACTCACACTCCTTAATAGGGATTATAGTACCTCCCCCCCCCCCCAATTATAATCCCTATCAAGGACTGTTAGTATAAGGGGAACATCCCAATCTACACCCCGAAATCACGCACCCAAAATCCCTTCTAGCAGAGACCGGGATGTCGAACGAGTGCCGCAACTGCTGCGGGAAGCTCGCAGGAAACGGAGCCAGGATACCTATGATGTTGAGAGAAGGAAAGCCCTAGACCCAAAACCCAAAACCCTAAACCCTAAATAACTGACACTGCACAGGCAGTCAAGAAGAATCGTACGCACGATGCCCTGTACTAGTCGCGGAGGGGGTGGCAGCACGGACTCTTTTTGCATCGCTGAGAGTGATGACAGTGTCAGAAAGGCGTTCCAGCACATGGCGTCATGCTTTCCATGTCGGGAAGCACACGGCCATTTTTTAGGGCTGTGTTCGGCTGTATATGCCTTAAGCTGCCATCACAGGCGAAACACACAAAACGAGTAGCCTAGCAACGGCTTCTCTTTTCCGCAAATGGTGGAGGCGCCGCGATCTTGAGCACGATGCCCCCGCCAACAACGCAAAGGTCTTACTGGACATGACATGCTGCATGGCACCTGGCCCAGGGCGGCGGCAGGGTTCAGGATTTGTTTAGGGCTTAGTGTTTAGGCTTTAGGGTTTAGGGTTTTGAGATAAGATTGCTTGACCTGCTTAGACCTGTGTAGATCCGAGCCTCAAGTTAAAAAGGAACACTTCTTGCAGTACAGTTCTCTGAATCATGCTGGGAAGTCGACTCAAGTCCCATGTCCGGTTGGCTTGTGTTTAACAGATCGGTTGGGATGTTCCACCTTATACTACCCAGCCCTTAATGGTGATTATAATCGGGGGGTACTATAATCCCTGCTAAGGACCGTTAGTATAAGGGGGAACATCCTAAGATCAGGCTCTTCTTCACCCTGGAGTTCCCAAATAAGCCCTCGGCTGTCATCAACTTAGTGAGAGTGCATATGACCTGGTGCTTCACGGGCTTGCACGCCACCGCTGGGAAAAAGGGACCGCCCTAAACCCTAAACCCTAAACCCTAAACCCTAAACCCTAAACCCTAAACCCTAAACCCTAAACCCTAAACCCTAAACCCTAACCCTAAACCCTAAACCCTAAACCCTGCTGCAGAGCCCACAAGCAACTCTGCCCAGCAATGATCGGACATCCCTTCAGCAACTTTGCAGGGCCAGGCGGACTTCAAGCAGCGCTTCGTTCTTGAGGTCTTAAAAGGCAAGGTTCAGGGTTTTAGGTTTTGGGGTTTAGGGTTTAGGGTTTAGGACTTAGGGTCCATAAACGTAAAGCCACGACACAGCTAAAGCATAATGCTCGGTCTGGGACCCTCGGTCTAGCACAGAAGGGGTGGCTGGGCTCTTTCTCCTGAACACCTCGAATCCCTAAACCCTAAATCCTAAACCCTAAACCCTAAACCCGAAACCACAACCTTGAACTCAACAAAAGAGTCACCTCCCTCCGCTGCCTGCGGGCACCCTCTTGTCGTTTTACGCTCTGATGCCGGTGGACCATCCTTAGCCAAGAGAGGTTTGATACACTCTCGGTTTACAGCTTGGCTTAGAGTTCAATGATTCGAAGGGCTCATAGATGTCGCGCATAGGATTTAGACTTTGCGGCTTAGTTGAGAGGGGCCGGGGGTATGAGATCCCAGGGAGCGGAGGGTTTTGGCGTGCAGACGGTTCTGGTAGAGTTGAGAGTTGCTTTAACTGTAGCATGGCCCATGACCGATTGGCCGGCATGCGAGCTGTCAAAATATCTTCCGCAGGTACGACTTCCCACTGTCAGGGGTTCTCGGGAGGGAGGACAAGCAAAGATAAAACAACTTCGGTTACATGTTCACACTGCGTGCTCCTCTTCGATTTTGGAGGATGCCACGATGCACAGAAGGTCATAACTGGATTTTCAATTTTCATGCCTAGCATTGGGCAAATGGGATTGCTGAAATCTACAGCATCTCGCAACGTTTAATTGTTACAGCAGCGAAATGCCGTTCAAGGCTCCACGTTGCCCAGTGCCGCCGCGCAGGGCGCCAGCCCGGGCGTTCCTTGCTGGGCCGTTCAGCGTACCCCGAACATGAGTCACCCCCGGGGCCTGGAAAGCCCTGGTTAGTATCTGAACCCGAGCCCTAAGCACAAAAGCTTCAAGGTCTGTTTTTTTCTGGTGCGCGAATGGAGGAGCGCACTGCTGTAGCTCCAAGCCAGATATAGGGCGTTTAAAGGGCTTACCTCAAGGAACTCAAGCGTATTAGGGCATCAGTGTTCTGAAGATTGATAATGAAGTTCAGAAGCAGTTTGGGGTGTGTGTGTGTGTGTCTGCATGTCGGAAGCTTGCAAGCCCGCGCCAAGCAACAAACAAGAAAGAAATAAAGCAAGCAAGAAAGAAAGAAATAATGAATGAAAGAACCAAAAAACGAAGAACTAAAGGCAAACCAATGTCAAAGCCTTCAACCCTGTAGATTGGCATAACTCCAGCCCTTCACCAATACCCCCGAACCCAAAACCCGACACCCAGAGCCCGAACCTGGGATCCCAAACCTTGCGGGTAAAAAACCACACCCTCAAACCACAAACCCCGAAAGACCTTCACCCCATAGCCCTCTAAACCCTAAGCCCTAAGCCCTAAACCCTAAGCCCTAAACCCTAAACCCTAAACCTCTTGCTATCCATGCTTCTCCCATCCCCCGGCCCGGCGAACGGGCTGTCCACCAAACGAGGAACCTCCAGTGCTTGGCTCTTGGGCTTTTACTTACAGCCCAAAGCCGTAAAGCCCACTTGTGAATCACCGTTCCGGTTTAGGGTTTAGGGCTTTGGGTTTAGGATTCACAGGATTTACAGGGTTTAGGGTTTAGGGTTTAGGGTTTATAGGATGTACAGGATTTATAGGGTTTAGGGTAGGCTTGATTTATAGGGTTTAGGGTAGGCTTTAGGGTAGGGTTTAGGGTTTAGGGTTTAGGGTTTAGGGTTTAGGGTTTAGGGTTTAGGGTTTAGGGTTTAGGGTTTAGGGTTTAGGGTTTAAGGTTTAGGGTTTAGGGTTTAGGGTTTAGGGTTTCGGGTTTAGGGTTTAGGGTTCCGCTAGGCTAGCCGTTCAGGCTTTTCTACGGCCCATGAGCCCCCCATTTTGGTGGCTACCTGTCCTATCAGTGTCTACCAGTTTGGAAGCAGAGAGATCGTTTCAAAGCTGGGTTAGGTGTTTGAGTGAGGGTTCAGGGTTCGCAGCGTGTAAGAACCCTTATCTTGACCCCAAGCTCATGGAATGTGTCACAGTACTTCCCTTTCCTGCGTCCATTCAATAAACGGGCTATTGGGTCCAACTGTCAATATACATTAGAATTTATCTAGGACTTCGAGTATAAGGGGGAACACGCCAACAGGCAACCCCAAACCCCAAACCCCAAACCCCAAACCCCAAACCCTAAACCCTAAACCCTAAAGGCCCTAATCCCGCGGCCTTTGCCGCGGCCCTTTCCTTTGGCGCCCTTCTGGTCTGCCTTCAGCTTTAGGGGTTGAGGCTTTAGGGTTGAGGGGTTTGTCTGCGATTTGCTGAACGGTTTAGGATTTATACAGGGTTAGGGTTTAGGATTTAGGGTTTAGGGAAAAGATGATATATCCCCACGTTGCACCTTGAAGGAAGAACATTTTGCATTTTTTGGGTGGGTTCTTCTTCAGCAAATAGTAGAAATAGTAGTTGTGAGGGTTGAGGAGTTTGGGGTTTTTGGGCTCCGGCACATATTGGCTTATGGGGGTGTGCTGGGCTTTGGGCTTTGGGCTTTGGGCCTTGGGCCTTGGGCCTTGGGCCTTGGGCCTTGGGCCTTGGGCCTTGGGCCTTGGGCCTTGGGCCTTGGGCCTTGGGCCTTGGGCCTTGGGCCTTGGGCCTTGGGCCTCGGGCTTTGGGCCCCAAACCCTAAACCCTAATTAAACCCTAAACCCTAAACCCTAAACCCTAAACCCTAAACCCTAAACCCTAAACCCTAAACCCTAAACCCTAAACCCTGAACCCTGAACCCTGAACCCTGAACCCTGAACCCTAAACCCTAACCCTAAACCCTAAACCCTAAGCCCTAAACCCTAAACCCTAATCCCTAAACCCTAAACCCTAAACCTAACTAAACCCTAAACCCTAAACCCTACACACTTTGGATTTCGTGCTTCGAGTTGCTCAGGATTTCTCAGGTCTACGAACTGCGCCTCGCCGCAGAAGGTTAAGGGTTTAGGGTTTAGGTATGAGGAGGGACCCCCCTAGAAGGGACCCCACATCATACCTTATATAGTCCCTGTATACCAAAGTAGCTTCAGGGTTAAGGGTTTAGGATTTAGGGTTTAGGGTTTAGGGTTCCCGAAGTAGCCCCTAACTAGTCCCTACATACCCCCAAGGTCCCTCATGAGGGTCCCTCCTGCAGTCCCTTAAGAAGACCACATGCACAATTTATTCATCTCCACGTGATGCCTGACTCAACCCTAAACCCTAAACCCTAAACCCTAAACCTAGGCCCCCCCCCCCAACCTTCATGTCGAAGCCTTTGCCCATTCTTCCCTTTCCGCCTGGCACGCGTTTAGGGTTTGGGGTTTGGGGTTTAGGGTAAGGCGTCTGGTTTGAGGAGTAGAGGAATCCGGTATATCTAAACCCGTTTTCATAATCAGAACCCCCCCCCCCCACAAAAGAAATGAACAAGGGAATAAGGGTACTGCGGTGAAAACGGTTCAGGGGTTCGAGGGTTTAGGGTTTAGGGCGTTTGTTCTTAGGGTTTTGGGCTCTGAAGGCACGGATTCAGAAACGCGCAGACGTCATGTCGGAGCTGCTTGCGCCCGTTGCTTTAGTCATCGGTTCTTCAGCAACCCTAGACCCTAAACCCTAAGTCCTAAACCCTAAGTCCTAAACCCTAAACCCTAAACCCGAAACCCTGGGATGTGTTTGGCGTTTCCAGGTCCTGGGGTCTAGGTCTCACAAGGCAACCGTGAAGCTTCTCCAAAGTAGCTGGCTCGGTAGCCCAGGTAACCTTCGTATGATAAGGGTACTGTTTGTAAACCCTAAACCCTAAACCCAAAACCCAAAACCCTAAACCCTAAACCCTAATGGCACTTTTTTTTTTTTTTTTTTTTTTTTGGGGGGGGGGGGGGTTGTTGGTTGGTTGCAAGGGAACCTTTGAACCAACAAAAGGTCAAAAAGGGTGCCACTGGGCTACCAAGCTGAAACTGAAAGGGGCGAGCGCTATGGACACCATGCCTTCCCCAAACCCTATATAAACCATGGCTTCCCGCAACCCTATGTAAACCGGAAACCCTAAACCCTAAACCCTAAACCCTAAATCCTAAACCCTAAACCCTAAACCCTAATCCCACGCAGAGACACCTCCATTCTCCCAACAGCTGTTGGCCCAAAGCCGTTGCACCCCCCAGGCAGTTCATTTGTTGCGACTATTTGCTTAAGAACCCCCACAAGATCTAAAACAGTCTTCCTCGTAAGGGCAATATACGGATGATTTCATTTTTCAAGTTTCTTGGAGGTTCTTAAGCAATGAGCCGTTGCCCTTACCCTTGAGAAAGCCGGCGCACCTAAACTGCAAAACACGAACTTGTCGCCTGACAGCCTATAGATCATGACGTCAAAACATATTGTAGTAGAATTGCAAAGGGACCCTTAGGGAACACTCTCAGTATTTAGTTTGACCCATAAAACCCTAAACCCTAAACCATTAGATAGCTCAAACTTTCCTTGCCTTTGCCGGAGTCGGTATTCAGACCCGGCTGTGAACGACCAGCATCCTCGAGTCGTTCTCTTAAGAGGGGAGGCCAGGGTTTAGGGTTTAGGGTTCAGGGTTCAGGGTTCAGGGTTCAGGGTTCCAGGCAAATTGAAACGCTTTGAGACACGTGGAACAAGTTTAACGCTTCGCAAACCTAAATTTAGACCCTAAACCCTAAACCCTACACCCTACACCCTAAACCCTAAACCCTAAACCCTAAACCCTGAACCCTACATGTTCTTGGGGGTGGAGTGTTTGGTCCGGCCCAGCCTGCTTCCTCTGCCCGAATCAGACTGAACCTCCAAACCCCTCACTGAAGTCTGAAACTTGGGATGTTGCTCCTTATACTAAGGGCTTAGGGTTTAGGGTTTAAACCCAAAATCGGGGGGTACTATAATTCCGACCTTGATAGGGATTATAGTATCCCCCGATTTTCATCCCTAATAAGGACTGTTAGCATAAGGGGGAACATGCCAACCTGAAGCCATCTAAAGACCTGCAAGTATAAGCCCGTCCAAAATATACATACCCCCGCGAGCCGAGGAAGCATGATATAGGGGCCTTCATAATCAGAACAGGCTTTTTTTTTTTTTTTTTTTTGGGGGGGGGGGGGCCTCTTCTTCTGGTATAGTCATAAAGGGACCCTAAGTGAAAACTATTCATTAAATATTCTGACCCCTAGATGAAGCCCAGTTCTGGTCATGCACAGAAACGCAACACACGTCCCAAGCCCGGGCCTTTGGCATCCCCGAGGGGTCCTTGTACCTATACAGTATATACTTATTTTTTTTAGGGTTTAGGGTTTAGGGTTTAGGGTTTCGGGTTTAGGGTTTAGGGTTTAGTGTTGGGCCTTACAGGGGTCCCTATATAGTAGCTTTAGGGCCCAAGTATATACTATGTAGATACATGGACCTGGGTGCCGAGGATGAGAGGTTCGTATTCTGAGGATCTAAGCTTGTGAAGGCTGAAGTCCGATAGTATAGGACTTAGAATTGAGGGATTGAGCTGTATCAGAGTCTGTAGGTTGGCCAAGGGGTGGGTGGTGTTCCTACCTGATGCTTGGAACCTGGGTCGAACGGAAACCCCAAACCTTAAACCCCTAGCCCTAAACCCTAAACCTCAAAAACCTCCGCCGAGCCCTGCAGTCCTGCCACCGACGCAGCGCAAAAGCATCAGGCCATTGGGGGGGGGGGGGGGGGGGGGAACCCAAGCATCTAAGTTCTGGGGTTTCCGAAATTCGAGGTACCTTCTGGGGGGTCCTGATTGTTTTGGGGGTCTATTTTAGGGGGTCCCCTATATTCGTAAACCTCCCTATGACAAACCCTAAAACATAAACCGCAAACCCTAAACCCTAAACCTTAGCGCCGGTCCTTGAAAGCAAAGCCGCCGGTCTTCAAATCCACGAGGCGCTCGTTGTTCTCCACGGCCTTGTGCCCGCGCGCTTGGGACGTGGGGGGGCATGGGTTTTTTCAGGCTTTTCTGGGGTTTAGGGTTTAGGGTTTAGGGTTGAGGGTTGAGGATTGAGGGTTGAGGGTTGAAACCCAATAGAGTTCGGGGGTGCCCCGGGTGGGGTGGCCGATGGCATCCCATGGCGCAAGTCCTCAGCAGTAGATCCTGTAACCTCAACTCATCCCAAATATTTCAGTGACTTCTAATTGCTTAAGAACCCAACAACATATGTTCTTCCTTATAAGGGTAATATAGGAATCATTGTCTTTTCTGGCGGGTTTATCAGCAAATACTAGCTAAGTCAAAAGCCCTTTACTCAGATTTACACTTTACACCTACAACCACCCCACGCATGACTCATGACTATGACCATGGAAGCTGAATGAACGCCCTGCACTCCAAGCCCCAACCCCCAAGCGCCGATAACATCTCCACCTCCTAAACTGACCACCCGCGAATTTTATGGGCGCGTAGACCCGACAACCCGCACACCCTAGAAATCCCTGAAACTAGGGTTCAGGATTTAGGGTTTAAGGTAACAAAACCAAAGATTTAGGGTTTAGGGTTTATAGGGTTTAGGGTTCAGGGTTTAGGGTTTAGGGCTTAGGGTTTATAGGGTTTAGGGTAACAAAACAAACGCAGGGAATGGAGCCTGCACGGCTCGCTCCGCCAGTGTAATCGCCAGGCCTCTGCCGGTTCAGGCTGAAGGTTTTGGAGCGCTCTTCTTTGACTCACTCTTTAGGGTTTAGGGTTTAGGGTTTAGGGTTTAGGGTTTAGGGTTTGGGGGTTCACTTCGAGAGTCAAAAAGTACTCGGTTCGCACTTCCATTGCTGGGCTTATAGGGCTTAGGATGCCAGGATCGACCCCGCTTTTACTTGCCCCGGACCGGATGTCCGTGGAAGTAGTTGAGGTGTGAGTTGTTGATGTCTCTGTGAGACAAGGTCGGCGCTTGCAGCCCTGTGGGATGTTGCGCTTTTGTGGTCAGGGTGTCTGCGTGTGGTATGTGTCTGTGTGCGCTTCAGGCTTTAAGGATTCAACACAAGCGATCAGCACCCCGCTTGCAGCTATGTGCAGGATGATGGACTATGCATTGGATAGGCAGCCAGCCAATGGGCATAGAACAGGTTGGATACATGTCGATGCGAGTAGAAAGATCGAAACCCTAAACCCTAAACCCTGAACCCTAAACCCATCTGTTGATGGAAGAGGACAGGATGGGTGGAAGCAGCGTGATATCGACGCAAAAGTCTCTTAGTTTTCTACGGCCTATGAATGCACTGAAAGGGGGACGATAATTCAGAGAACTTTTCAAATATGTAGTCACTCAGTACCTTGTAAACCCTAAACCCTAAACCCTAAACCCTAAACCCTTGGACCCCTAAGGTTGTACCCTTGGGCTTGGGGAACCCTTTTTCAAGATCCTCTTAGGGAATACGGGGACCGTTCTTAGGAGCATATTGCGGGGACCTCTTCGGGGTACATTTTTTGGGGGTCCGAGTATGACTCCCTTGAAACACCAAATTCAGGTGCGCTGCGCTGGAGCGGGGTTGGCTCCACGTGCTGCACGAGCACATACTTTGACGACTCCTTGGCATCAGGCACGGCTCACCGGCAAGAAAAGTCCTGTGACGTTGCTGACTGCTGCACAAATCGTTGCGCTTCTGGCACGTTCATATCGTCATAGCCAAAGAACAACTGCAATGGTCAATCAGGCGTCCGAACCCTTGACCGCCAATGACCTACACCCCAGATACCAGCCACTCGTAGATCCCTGGATCCTAAACCCTTAACCCCAGAATCTCAGAACCTCAGACACCTTTAAGGAGCCGAGGCGCATCCCAAAAGGCCGTGATCTCTTCCTGCAGGATCAGGATGCAAAACGCACCCGATGCTTGGTGGTTTAGGGCTCCCACGCTTGCAGGTAGGAGGGTCTCGGAAGGCCTGTAAACAGGAGCCTGAAAGTAGCTGCTCAAGGAGAGGCCCCAAGAAAATCATGGGTTTAGGGTTTAGGGTTAGGGTTTAGGGGTTAGGGTCACGCGCAGCGCAGGCAGTAGCCAGGGCTTCGGATATGAGGGTGAGTCGGCATGCTGTGCATCCGTAGCTCAGGCTTTAGGTATGACTTAATTGGGCTGTCTGCAACCGACGGCCCCTTCTGAAGCCGATCCGGTCCTTTTCTAATGCATGTAGGTTAGGGTTTTAGGGTTTCAATCGGCGGAACCATTCAAAATCTCCCGATTGCTTCATGGGGAGCGGGCAGTATTGCCAATGGAGCTATAAGCCGAATAATGCCAAACACCGACGACAGAGTCTCTCAGTTTGAAGTAAAGCCGCAAACACGAACAAACATTCTAAACCCGAAACCCTAAAACCTAAACCCTAAACGCGCTCCTTGATCATCATCTTCGAGATGGTGGAATGCACTTGTCTTCCATCCAAGTCTGAGATATTTGGACAAGTGGGGCTTCTGGAGCTTGGAGCTTGGGGGCTTCAGGGCTTTGGGGTTAAGGGTTAAGGGTTTAGGGGGTTCTGATCGCAGACCGTTTTGGTAGTTCTCCATCAACCCTAAACCATAAGCCCGAAAAGAGGACACCTTACATACCCCTTATATACCCCATACAACCCAAGGGCCCATACATCAGAACCCTTTAAAGAAGGTAAGGGACCACAATAAGGGACCATGAAGCTCAGCCCGACGTACCCCCTTGCATCCACTGGTTGACTCTTGGCCGGGTCTTGCCCTGTGCGGTCAGGGTTGACAGAGTTCGGAAGTTTGGCAAGTGACGGTTTCTTGCGGTTTCTGGTCAAGCTCCGAAAGTCCAGGCGTAGCTTGAAACTTGAGAGTTGTTTAGGATTTAGGGTTTAGGGCTTAGGGCTTAGGGTTTAGGGTTTAGGGTTTGGGGTTTGGGATTGGGGTTTAGGGTTTAGGGTTTAGGGTTTAGGGTTTAGGGTTTAGGGTTTAGGGTTTAGGGTTTAGGGTTTAGGGTTTAGGGTTTAGGGTTTTGGGTTTAGGGTTTAGGGTTTTAGGTTTAGGGGTTTAGGGTTTAGGGTTTAGGGTTTAGGGTTTAGGGTTTAGGGTTTAGGGTTTAGGGTTTAGGCATGCCTTGAAAGGAGGTGCATGAGGGTCCTTCGAGGTTGTGCACTCGAGCTCTCGAAGTTCTCGAGTCAAGACTTCCCAAATCGATAGCCTAACCCCCCTAAACCCTAAACCCTAAACCCTAAACCCTAAACCCTAAACAACTCTCTGACAACAACTTTCTTCAGGGCTTTCGCGCTTCTTGGAATGCTCTGCCTTCCCCAAAATGAAAACTTCTTACCACGGAGGAAGCTCGCGAGCCGGGTTTACAAAGCCCAAACCCCACGACCCCAGGTTCACCGAGCTTACTTCTCCTTTAACCAAGGGGAAAAAAGCTTAAACTTTACTATTCCTGCACAAAAGGGATACCCAGATACTCAAACAGTTTAAGGTTCGCCTCCTGCCTAAGTAAGTAAGCGGACGCAAAAGCCGCGTGGATTGAATCTATCTGACGCCCTGGAAGCCCCGAATCCTTGCAGAAAACACTACAACCCCCTGGCGCCTGGGTCCTTGCTTTGGGTTTTACACTATAGGGTCTCAGGGGGTTTCGGGTTTAGGGTTGAGGGTTTTAGGGTTTGGGGTTAATGTTCAGGGTTTTAGGGTTTTAGGGTTTAAGGTCTCAAGGGGCCGGGGTGCTGAACATCTCCACCAGCTGATCCAAGTGGAAGGCATCGTAGATGGATGCGTAGGAGAAGAGGTAGGTGCGCAGGGCCTTCACGCGGATCTGCCCTAAACCCTAAACCCTAAACCCTAAACCCTAAATCCAATAAGACAAACAACAGCAAAAGCAGCAACAGCGACAACCACCACAGCATCCGCTGGCAGCAACCACAGCCTGAGCCCTCAATCTAGGGTTTAGGGTTTAGGGTTTAGGGTTTAGGGTTTAGGGTTTAGGGCTTTAAAAGCAGAGCCCTTCAGCCGGCTCTGTCGGATTCCCTTCAAGCCTCTGGGTTCGGGTTGCATGCATCCGGCAGAAGAGAGTTCAGAAACCCTAAACCTTGGAGGTCGAGACTTTGGGGCCCTGCGTTTTGCGTTTGCCGAAGTATCGGATGACAGGAGCGAGACGGCCTCATCCTGAACCACTTCTCAGCCCCTCAACAAACCCTAAACCCTAAACCCTAAACCCCAAACCCTAAACCCTAAACCCTAAACCAATCTCCCTCTAGTCGAACTCATAGTCACAACTGTTCAACCTTCATCCCCTAGCTCCCAACAGATTGCGGAAGGCCGGAAGACAAGCCTCCCAAGCACGGCAACCGGCCTCCACTTTCATCTTCTCCGTGATCATGGCCTTGACCTCCATTTTTACATGTTGCGGTGGCCTCGCTTTAAAGCTTTAAGCAGGCCTGCTCAAGACTTTGCGCAAAGAAGATTCTGTTCTTCATTCGCATGGGAACTCTACGCGGTTTGAATGAAGCGAGACTTCCTGTTGAGCAACCATTGGCCAACAAATCTATCCTCCCTACCCCGGAGCCTAAACTTAAAATCCCGAAGTTTTATGGGTTTGTGGTCGGGCATAAGGACCAAGTGTCGAACTTTCACCCAAGGTTTCTGCTTCTAGGACCTCAAAACTAAAAAATGCGAATACAACTGGAGTCCTACACATCTTGCAGATGTTCTGTCGATTCAGGACTGCCATTTAGTGGACTCGGAGCCCAACCACGATGAAGTTCACCCTGCTTCTTTGTAGGGAATGAGGGAATCAGGGCCCTATATACTCCATTAAGGTTCTATATGGGACCCGACTTCCCTAATCCCTACTATACCTAAGAGCCGGCCAGAGTTAAGGGAGTCTGGGGTGGAGCCCGGGATGTTGGTCGAGGTTACAGCTAGGACAGTTTCGCGCCACTTCCCGCTCCGGACGAGTACCTTCTCACCGTTCTCCGGGTGGTTGGTGTCGATGTGATGCCAGAGCCTTTGTCTCAGGATGGGCAACTTGAGTGTGTGTCACGGGTAGTTCTAGGTAGGGCTGCAGAAGAAGCTTGTTAAAGCCTTGTTTTCATGAAAGGTTTAGGGATGCCTTGTGAGAAGCGCATGGGCTGTGCCATTGTCTCGAAGCACAAGGCAACAAGAACATGAAACACCGACATCATGGAGCAATCGAACCCAAGAGTGTGCCGGGGCTATGTCGTCCGTGTACTTGCCATCTCCTACTCCAAGGCTTTGGGGCTTGAGGGCTTCGGGGCTTGAGGGGTTCCAGGCGTTAACGAGCATCGAAAGGAAACCAAAATGCATTGACTTGCCAGCCTTAGCTTTCAAGCCCGTAACTCCTGCCTGGAACATCACCGACATGGTTGTCCAAGGCGATAACTACTAATTACTTGCTGAAGAACCCAACCAAAAAACAACCCCTATATCCCTTATGAGGAAGATATTGTTTTTTCTTGGGTGGGGGGGGGGGGGTTCTTCAGCAATAGTAGCAAACCCTAAACCCTAAATCCTAAACCTTAAACCCTGAACCCTGAACCCTGAACCCTAAACCCTAAACCCTAAACCCTAAACCCTAGAGCTGAGGCCGGAGCTGCAGGCCTTCGAGCTGGGCGCAAGCCTGGTTGGTGCTTTGACTGACTGGGGGTTTAGGGTTTAGGGTTTAGGGTTTAGGGTTTAGGGTTTAGGGTTTAGGGTTTAGGGTTTAGGGTTACTGCTTGGAGGTTCATGGTACTTACTAACCCAAGTATAACTGAACCTCCAAGTAGATGTGTCTACAGCTTACCCACCCTAGACCCTAGACCCTAAACCCGAAACCCTAAACCCAAGCAGGAGCGCCTTGGCCCAGTCTCCTCGCTGAAGGTCCTTCGCCGCGGCCACCACGGAGTCCTTTCTCTAAGGGTCCATATAGGGACTATAAGGGCGGTTTAGGGTTTAGGGTTTAGGGTTTGGGGTTGAGGGTTTCGGGGTCACCGCTCTAAATTATGGTCCCTTTTGGGGGTCCTTATTGTAAGGCGGCCCCTCTTATGTATAGGGTACCCTAAAAGGGACCCTAATTGTTGGTCCGTAGGGTTTGCAGATTGGGTCTCAACCGTTTGCTGCAAGGAAAGGGGTTCTTCGTCTTTCTTCTGGCGGTCTTACTACACGTGCGTCTTTCTTCCAGGGGTCTTACGACATTCGCTGGACTTGCTTGGGCCTCTGCCACTGCCCGCGGAGCACGGTTTCGGGCGAAGCTCGGCGCCCGAAGCACGAATCCCTCCAGCCTAATCCATACTCCGTGAACATTTCTACCACCACAACAGGTAGCTGGCTGCATATGGCACCACCCGCAACAAAGAATTTCTCTGGGTTTCGGCATTGTCCTAGGGTATCGAGGGCCGGCATTCTTTCTGGGGTTAGAATTTAACTAAACCCTAAACCCTAAACCTTAAGCTTAAGCCCTTATAAACCCTAAACCCTAAACCCTAAACCCTAAACCCTAAACCCTAAACCCTAAACCCTAAACTGCCCTAAACCCTAAACTTTACATAGATGGCTTTGTAGGCTTGCGTGAGCAAGTTCCCGCTGTGGGGTGCGTGTGGCCTTTCTGCTCCCTGGCTGGCCTTGGCAGTCTCCGGCGGACCAGTGTACTGCTGCTTGTCGTACGTCTCAAGGGCGCGCCTGCAGGAAAAAGGCTTCTTGCACCGGTGGGTAGCAAGAGAGCTCTTAGGGACTTGAAGGTTTCGGGCTTACAACGCTAGAGCTCTTCGGCAGTATGTAAAAAGAGTTTGGGCTTCACACGAGACAGCATTGAAGCACCAAACCCTGCAGGAAATTGTGGAGGAAGGTTCGGGACGATCGGAAGTTGCTGTTCGCGGCACTTGCTTGTTGCGGCTGGCAGGTTTTGGGTTTTAGGGCTCCTCCGTTCAACGCTGAACACCTGAACCCTAAACCCAAAGCAGGGTTGGTGGCCTACTGAGCCTCACCCTGACCCAGGGGTCTGGAGCTGGGCTTTAAGGATCTGAGCGGCCTAAACCCTACACCCGAAACCCTAAACCCTAAACCCTCAACCCTAAACCCTAAACCCTAAACCCTAAACCCAGTCTGGGGCACTGCTACCTGTACCCAGCCTCACCTCTTCGGAGATTTCGGGTGGAAGCCCTGAAACCATCCACCCTCAAACCCTAAACCCTAAACCCTCAAACCCGAAACCCTAAACCCTAAACCCTAAACCCTGCACCCGGAACCCTGAACCCTGAACCCTGAAACACACAAACACTAGCTCATCAACCCGAACACCTCAAAGACTCCACCTACAACACGGGAACCTTGCAATTTGGGATGTTCCCCCTATACCACGAGTCCTTGACAGGGAGTCTAGTACCCCCGATTAGAATCCCTATTAAGGACTTTTAGCCCTAAACCCTAAACCCTAAACCCTAAACATCCCACCTTGTGATCACAAACCGTCCTACTCCCTCTGACGGAGGCACCTAAGGACCTTGGAGATGATGCGCTTGTTGCTGGGATCAATGGCCTGCTCCCCCGAAGAACGGAGGGTACGAGGGTTTGGGGTTTAGGGTTTAGGGTGTGTGTGTGTGTGTGTGCTTTTTTATAAGAGAGTTCAGGGTTTAGGGTTTTAAGGATCAGGGTGGTAAGGTTCAGAACTGAAGGTCCAGGACGCAGGGCTTTTTGAGGCTTATGCAGCTTTAGGGTTCAAGGCGTAGGGCGCTGGGGTTATGAAGCTTTTGGGATTGAGGGTGCTGAGGCTCAGGGTAGGGTTTATGGCTTCTGGGTCTATAGATGCTGGGCTTAGGAACTTTTCGGGCTCCACGACGTAAGGTTTAGGGTTCAAGGTCCAGAACTGCAAGTTCGAATGCTTACTGCTCGAAGAGTTGCATGTTTAGGGCGTTGAGGGTTTATCAAAGTCCCTCTGCAGGTTCGGGTGTTCTGGACATTCTTTCTTCTGAGACCGCAAAGACAGCCCAGCAAACCCTTTACAGTGGGATGTTCCCTATATACTAACAGTCCTTAATAGTGATGACAATCGGGGGTACTATAATCCCAATTAAGGACTGTTAGTATAAGGGGAATATCCCCATACCCTAAACCCTAAACCCTAAAGCTAGAAAAAGGGCGATCTACAACCCAAGAAGGGAGATTTGGACCATCGGCTGACACGCGTGGGTCAAGCGTGTTCCTACGGACACAAAGCACCTTCGCGCCATGCAGCGCTGTGGCTTCACAGAGTAGCTTGGCACTAGGTATTTCCGGCACTCCCGAAACCCTAAACCCTAAACCCTATACCCTAAACCCTAAAACCCAACTCTCTCAAGACCCTTAGCTGGTGGCCTAAACAAAGCTACAACAGAAAAATGGCCCCTGAATGCCAAGAGCCCTAAAACCCGAACATCCCCTTCAGCCCCCTCAAAACCCTGAACCCTTTAACTTTGGGGTTTAGGGTTTAGGGTTTAGGGTTTAGGGTCTAGGGTCTAGGGTTCAGGGCTCAAGGTCCTTAAAGGAGGGGGGTTCAAGAGGGGATGGCCTGCATCGCCATGTTGGGAACCTCAGCTTGCTTGAACACTGGAGGCTTTCAGGCGTGATCTGTCAATGACTGTAAGGGGGCTTTTAGGGTTTGGGTATTGGGGTTTGGGGTTTGGGGTTTGGGTTAGGGTTTAGGGTTTAGGGTTTGGGGTTCAGATTAGGAAGATAGCCACCGGAGCCTCTTTGGGAAGCCTGCGCACTTAAGAAACACCTTGTACCCGATCAGCCTGAATGTCTTTAAGTCTTTACATTTAGGGTTTAGGGTTTAGGGCTTAGGGTTTAGGGTTTAGGGTTTAGCACCCATGAACTTCGGCTCGAACACTCCAAAGCTCCAGAACTCTAAGCCCTGGACCCGCAACCTTGCACCCTACTCAGGCCCTACTCTACCTCAACAATTGTGTGGCAGGATCCCAGGGCGTACGCCGTCCGCAGCCTTCCACTGAACCCTAAACCCCAAACCCTATAAACCCTGAAACCCTTAAGGCGCACGGTTGGCAAAGCCTGCCACGCTCACGCTGTGCCCGACGAGGCACTTCCAACAGCATCGCGCAGATGTGCTGAGCACTCTCGAGCACCTGAAACACACATCCCCTAAAGCCAAAAAAGCCAAAATCCTAAAACCCTAAACCCTAAGCCCTAAATGAACACTGAACCCTAAACCCTAAACCCTAAACCCCAAGCCCTAAACCCCAAACCTCCGTCATGGGGCTGATTCCAGGCTTGGCGATCATTGGGGAGGCGTACGGGCTTTGGTGTAAAGTTTTACAAAAAGGCTGG